TGGGTTGCCCTATATTAGTGGTGACTCAGCTCTGGTATCCTCCAGTGCTGGGATATGCTGCACATTTGGGGACCAGTAAAGTCAATTCCACCTATGGCCTCTGGTCTCCTGGAACCCCCAAGACCTGGGTACCTCAGCCTGCCTCCTAACTGAGGTACAAGGAGGCCAGTGTCACTTCTCTCTGCTTTGCTGAGGCTGCTTTGGCCTTCTGGCCCTGGCCCATTGGCCATTATTGCTGCTTAGGGCGTAGCTCCACAGAGTCAGCAACACATCCAAAGGCTGCCCATCTAACTTATCTGTGGCTAGCTGGCAGCCAGCAGGTCTGTCCAGATCTGGTGCCGACTGACCTGCACTAGCTCCGTAGCCTGTCCTTGCAGGGATGGCCCTGCTCACTCAGGGCCCCCCTTCTTTTTCTCCTTTGCCGGTACAGTTTCTGTAGTTCACACCTTACCATGGTGCTTCACTTCTACATCTCCCAGCCTGGCCAGGGCATTGTGGATTGGGTGATCTTTAAAGGGGGCTAGAAGGGCTCCCAAATGTACCAGCTGGTCCGCTCACCAGGATCATGTCCTTGGTGGATGCCATCAGCAGTTCCTCATCTGGGCTATAGTACTACAGTGCAGACATCTGCTGCATGTGCATTTCATGAAGCACAGTTACCAAGTCTAGACAGTGACTTGCTCCAGCAGGTTACCTGGGTTCTGTCAAACCAGGGGAGCCGCTGCTATCAAGCAGTTTATCACAGTCTGATTACTTGTTTCTGGGGCACTCCTCTGCGCATCCTGCAGAACCCATCTCATAGAGGGGGTGCGGGCTATGTTGGCTATTTGGGACATCTCTTGTGGGCTTACCTGTGTATTATCAACCCCATTGTCCTATAGCCATAGCAGTCATGCAGGCACTGTTTCACTCACCTTCTATTTTAATTGTTTTGCCAGCTCCTGCAGCTCCATGGCTGTGTAGGTCATGTATGTTGTATGGAGGTATGGGTAGAGGTAGGTGGCCCTCCCAGTCCTCCTCCTTGGGATAGGGGTTCCTCCACCTCTACTTTTTGATGAATGTCCAGCCTCGCATGCAAAATCAGGGCATTTTCCTGGGGGTTTTCTCAGACATGAGAACTTACACTTTGGAGACATTTCTGGAGGAGGCATTGCTTCCCACGCCTTGCAATCTGAGCTCCACAGCAGCCAGCTGTTGCTCAAGGTCCTTCTCAGCTGCAGCTGGTCTACTTGCCAGACAAGGCCATCTGCCTGTCAATATCTCACCCACTATGCCAGTTGTCAGCCCACTGGGGGGCCCAGGGGAGATTTTCGAGGGTGAGGTCCTAAGGTCAGAAGAACACACATGTACAAGACGTCAGCAACAACAGTAGGCAGCATGGAGCTGAGCAGAGCAGAAGAGGGAAACAAGAGCTGCCTGCGTCTTTATTGTATAATTCTTACATGGGTTGTTATCCCATGTTTACATTCTTACATAGTGCCATAACCAGTGCATGTGTGTTTACCTGTGCTGAGTCATGGTTACATAACCACATCCCACTGTGCCCCTGTGCTAGATGAGTGGGATCATGTCCTCAGGTGTCCTTAGGTGCCCCTGAGCTTTGAAGCAGTCTGAGTGGTTCCCCACACCCTTCAGTTCTCTTATGCTGTTGGCAGCAATCCTCAGGTGGGCCTTCCACAAGCAGCACCACGTTGATTCTGTTCAGCTGGGTGTTACAAGTTGACCATTAGTTAATCCACCACAGTACTAAAAACATAAAAACTTCCTTGTCATTATCCCTAAACAAAATAGAATAACCACTATTTATGTAGTATTTACATTTATTAGGCATTTACAAACATTAGGCGTTAATCTAGAGGTGATTTAAAGTAAATGAGTAAATATACGCAGGTTATATGTAAATACTGTACCATTTTATATGAGGGGCCTGAGCAACTGCTTTTGTATCCAGCAGGCGTCCTGAAACCATTTCCCACAGATACTGAGGAATGACTGTATCCATATCATTGAAACAAACAAACACTCTTCTTTGCCCATCCAGAGTTGAATTTCTATTTTCTATTTATAATTCATGATAAGTTCTTGGTTTAGTTGTTTTGGAGTAAAATTTCCAGGCATTTTTATCATCATTTTGCCTAAAAAAAAATTTAGTATTCAGTTTTTAATGTATTTTCTTTGTTTCTTCCAAATATTTGTCCTGTTTTGTGATGTTACTAGACATCAGTGATTATTGGCAAAATGGTGATAATCTAATTTCATTCCTTTTTTTTTTTTATAGTTGACTACTTGTCCAAAGAGATACTTGTTTTTTATTGTCTATTCAGTTAGCCTGAGTTGCAGTTCATACAGGAAAGATGAAAAATAAGAGTTCTGTAGCATCGTCCAGAGGCCAGTACAGTAGCCTTCTCCTGCTGCTGCAACAGATTGCCATGAAGTTGGTGGCTTAAAAATACACATTTAAAAAGAAAATACACATTTAGAATCTCACAGTTTTGGAAGTCAGAGGTCTGAACAAGGTCTCAGCGCATCTAGGTGGTGATGGATCTTTGTTCTTCCTGAAAGCCGCAAGGCTGTGGGTCTTTTCCACCTCCTACAGGATGCCTGGTTTCTAGGCTGGTGGCTTTTTTCTATCTTCATGGCCAGCAGTAGTTGAAGGAGTCTTTTTCTTTTTCCCTTTTCTACTTTTAAGGGTCTTTTTGGTTAAAGACCTGGGTGGTAATCCAGAATAACATTTCTATATTAAGATCAACTGATTAGTGACTTTAATTCCATTTGTTACTTTTATTTACTTTTGCCATTTGAGGATTAGGATGTGATCATTTTGGGGGAACTGTTATTTCACCTGTCAGATTGACACTGGAAGTATCATTATTATGAATTCCTGGATTTCTCTTTTCTTTTTTGGTGCTGGGGATTCAACCTAGGGCCTTGCACATGCTAAGCACTGAGCCTCCAGGCCTGCTTTTTATTTATTTGAATTCATTGTTATTATACTTATTAGAATATTTTTTATCCTTGGACAAGGAAGAAGCTTATTTTAGTTGTTTCCCGAGTTCCTGGGATGTGAACCCTGGAATCTTTGGTAGCTTCCTCTGGGTGTGAAAGGGTGTCTGGGACCATCTAGTGCATTCCTGCCCCAGGTTTGCAATCATCATGCGGGTTGGAATTACCTGGAGGACTTGTTAAAACACAGATCGAGGGATCTACCTGCGTACCTGCGTCAGAGGTTTGATTTTGTAGGTCTGGGGTGGGGCCCCAAATTTGCGTAGTTAGTTATTAGGTGATGCCTATTACTCTGTTTTAGGGCCTACACTTTGAGAACCACTGCTTTAAGGGCCTCTGTTCTTCAGGTAGGACACAGAGTTAGAAATTACAGTCAGGATACTGGGAGGACACTACCTCTGGCCTTTTTCAGTGGAAGGAAGGAAGGAAACAAAATATGTTCACGTTGATGGTTAAAATTCAGTTACAGTTACAAGTTTTAGTTTAACATCTGTATGTATTTCTTTTCTCATACTTAAAATCTTGGTTCTTATGAGATTAATAATTATCTAATAAATATACATTTATATACATGCAGTTTCAGAATAGCAATACCAGTACTAATACTTATAACATGATTACCAAAAACAGTTTAAGATTTTTTGCAGTCCCTTTGTTTTTATATAAATATTTCTATGGAAGGTATAGATTACTCCGCATTCACATTACTGAAATAATTCCTCCGTTTGCACAACCAATAAACTTGATAGAAAGATTCATGTGTTTGCTCTGCTTTCAATTTTAGGTGATTTCTCTTTTATTTTGAGGAAAATTATGTAAGCATTTAAATGTTTCCAATGTCATGTCTGTAAAATAAATTGTAGCCCTTCTTTTTTGTTGTTTTGTTTTGTTTTTTGAGACAGGGTCTCACTAGTTCAGGCTGGCTTTGAACTCATGACGTAGCCTAGATTGGCCTCAAACTTGTGGTGATCTTCCTCTTTCAGCTTCCCTATTGCTGGGATTATTAACATGAACTCTCATGCCCAGCTTGTAGCCCCTGTTTCTACCTCTTCTCCCTTGTTCTGTCCTGTATTTTATAGGCACACTATTTAATTTGTTCTGTGGTTAAATGAATGGCAATATGCTATATATATTTATTTCTCTTGGATTTCTCTTCCTCTCTCCCCCAACTTAATATATCCTGAACATTACTTTAGGGCAGTATATTTGTAGAGAGTCCTCATTCCTTTTTCTTTATAGCTTGAGAGTGCTCCATTGTGAGAATGTATCTTAGTTCATTCCTCTACTGGTGGACATTTGGATTGGTACAACCTTTTGCTATTATGAATTATACTTTAGAATTACAAAGGATATATATTTTAAGGTAGTCATACTCATACTGTATGCTGCTTTTTTCCTGTCTCCTTAACATTATAACATGGACATTCTATGTTATATAAATTCTTTGTAAATGGTATTAAGATTTTTTTCTGATAATTAATACAAGATTACTTGAGAATTTTAGAAACTCAAAGGAAAAAACAAGTAAAAATAAACCACGCTCTCTACTTAGGGATGCTTACTATTTTGATGTGTTCCCTCAAGACCTTATAGCATTTATATAAACATTTAGAAAGCAGTCACTACATACATTTTGATACCTTGGTTTGTTTTTACTCATAACTGTGCTTTTTTTTTTAATACTGTACTCTTAAAATTTTCTATTATTTCTTGGTTGTTGGCCATGTCTTTCTGAGTTTTCAGCATATAAATAAATGCATGCATAAAATTTTTTCTAAATTTCACCTTTTTAAAGTTGGTTTCTGTAAGACTCTACATGGGAAGCCAGTGTACATTTGTTAAATATTTCTTTAGCTTGTTGTCTTCTGACAGTAATTGGGCAAGCCAAACATGTAAGAGGCTGTACATGTGCTGCTCAAGTGAGCACAAACATGTAAGAGGTTGTGACTTTGAAATTTTTGATAAATGAATTTCATTTTCTCTTTTGCTTCTTATAGGACCTAAGAAATGAAGTTGAAAAATTACGCAATGAAGTAAATGAACGAGAGAAAGCAATGGAGAATCTTTTGAGTGAAAGCAATAAAAAATTGCATAATCAAGAACAAGTGATCAAACATCTAACAGAAAGTGCCAATCAGAAGGACTTGTTGCTTCAGGTACCATAACTTTTTTTTTTCTTTTGTATTTAAACCTTTTGATTTAGCAGCCCCCCACCCCACCACACACACACTTATTTGCAGGAAGATTTTTTTTTTTTTTTGAGACAAGGTCTCGCTATGTAGTTCAGACTGGCCTTGAGCTCAATTTGTAGCCCATGCTGGTCTCAAATTCACAATGATCCTCCTGCCTCAGCCTCCCAAGTGCTGGGATTACAGGCATGTACCACCCACCCGGCTTGCAGGAAGATTCGTGATTTCAACCTTCATTGCTATGATTCAGAGCACTTTAAGTTTTCTTTATATCATTTGGGCCTTAGGCGCCAGGGAAGTAAGAGAAATAGAAAACTCCGAGGGAAGAACTCACGCTGGGTCATGCGATACGCAGCTGGTACCTGACCCGTTCTGCTTTGGTGCCTATACCACTCACCAAGTATTTCTGCTGTGGGTACTGCCTGTGCCTTCTTTGGGACATGCCTCTTGTCTCTTCTGTACTTCTCTGACTGTTCCTTTCAGTTTAGAATACCTTTCTTGTTTGGTATGTCTTGAATTTTTGAAATTGAACTCAGACTTACAAGTAACCATGATGGACTACACATAGGTATGTATTTCTGCTCCCTGTGGAAAGCCTCAAGGGTTAACTAGGAGAATGGAAGGAGGAACAAGCATAGGTATGAGTGGCAGTGCAGTATTGGATAGGTGGATGACCAATAGTAACAGAATGGGATTCAGCTTTTAACATTCTGCTACATATTTGGGGATGAAAAGCCAACAAAAAGCAAAGTGGTTATGATACAACTCCAGAAAGGCTCAGCAAGTTTTGAGTGTAGGCTGATACCTTTGAAAACAGGAGATTTAGCTGGAATCTTAAGCAATTGTAGGTGATGCTCTTCTCCCCACCAACAGGAGATCTCCAGAGACCTTAAACCATAGAAACTCTAGCCTAGAGATTACCAGATGCAACCGAGAGCAGGAGTGCATCACTTACATACAAGTGGGGAGGGAGTAAGAAGTGTGCATAAGAAGCAGTGAGATTCTTCCCAGGAGAGAAAGATCTGAAAGGCGCTGAGAGTTGAGACTCCTCCAGCCAAACAGCCTGGTGCCCACTAGAATGTCTCACAGTGAGGCCACTCTTGCCATCGCATTTTTGTACTCAGAGTGCTTTTGATCACTTTTAACCCTTGAAGGTTAAAGGTAGATTGCCTGAGTGTATCAAACAGGAGAAAATTGTTGAAGGTGATTGACAAACGCCCAAACAGATAGGACAAAGGTACACTCAGAAAATAGAAACAATGCAAAATTAGATAGCTTTAAAAGATCCAAAAAGTTCAACACTATAACATCATAAGCTAAGAAATAGATCAGGATCTGATTTTATACCTACCAAAAAAAAAATGATCTATTGGGAATTCAAAGCATGATTGTAGGTGTAAAACGATTAGTAGAAGTGTTAAGTCTCCCCAAAAATAGAACTGAATGCACAAAATATGGGAACAAAGGAGAGAAAACGTAAGGAAACTAAAGGCATGATTCAAGAGCTCCAAAATATGACTAAGAGGAGTTCCAGGAAGACAGAACAGGCAAAGCGGAGGGAAGAAAAATTTTCAGGTTATGAGAGACCGTTTCCCAGAATGGAAGGATGGTTGTTCCTACATGCCAAGGGCCTGCTCTGTTTCTAGCACAAGGAGTAAAGAAGACACACATGCCTCAGCAAGTCACTGTGGAATTTTAGAACACGGGGATAAAGAGATCTGCAGGGCTTCCAGGGAGAGGACAGTGTAGGGCACATACAAAGACCTGGACTTGCTGTGACATCAGCATTCTTAGCAGCAACAACAGACACAGAAGAGAGAGGAACAATGCATTTGGACTCTGAGGAAAAGTGATTTTCAGTCCAGCATTCTGTCCCTAGCCAGGCTGTCAGCAAGGGCGAGGGCAGATTAAAGGTGTTGCCAGGTGTTTGGTACCCTCAGTCGTTTGCTTCCCATGTACTCTTGGAAGAAGCTCTGGGAGAGTGATTCTAGTAAAAAAGGGAATAAAGAGAGAGGGAGAGAGATGGGGGTTCAGAAAGTGGAAATTCCCCTGGAATGTGGCAAAGGGATGTCCCGGGCTGAAGCCGAGCCACTCATATGGACAATCCAGGTTTGGGCCATCGAGGGAGGTGTCAGCGGGGGTAGCTTCAAGAAACTAAAATGGAACTGATTGATTATCTGATGTATGTTGTTGTTGTTGCTATTGCTGGTTTTGAGACAGGGTCTCTGTGTAGTTCAGGCTGCCTTAAACTCGCTGTGTAGCCCAAGCTGGCCTTGAACTTGCAGTGATCCTCTTGCCTCAGTGTCCCATGTGCTAGGATTACAGGCGTGCACTACCACACCCGGCTGCCTGATGTGTTTTAGGTTGTTTTAGAGAGAGTGGAGATAAATTTACAGTTAGTACACATTAAATTTTATAAACCAAGTAAACAAATAGGATAAAGCATTTACCAATTCCAGGAAAGCAAAGAATTAAACACAAATGGAAATGTAATCATGGAACACTGACTGAGCAGTATTTGCATGGCTATAAAAATATAAATGTGGAATATTGATTTGACTAAAATTATGATACAATTGTGAGGAGAAGTGTTGAGGTGCAGATGATATGAGAGCTAAATCCATAATGTAAACCAGTAGATAAAACCAAAGCCCAGGAAATCAAGAAATTTGAGAGGAAGACTATAATACAGAAGCAGGGAAATAAGTAGCTGAAGAAATAACTACAGAGTTGCAAGGTTTTTTATAAAGTAGAACTTAGAAGTGAGAAATGGGGAGGTGGCGAATTACCGTTCACCAGGTAGACCTTATACAGTGCCATTTGACAAACTATATGTGTATAACTGAACTTTTAAAAATCGAAAATGAAAGTGTAATTTAAGGGCAGCTGTATTAAAGCAATTCTAGAAAGGTAGTGTTGGTTGATTCCTAGTTCTTCCTATTGCAGTTCAGTGGGTTGTTATAAAGAATTACTTCTGCTTCTCTCTTTTTGAATTCACCTAACTTCTTCCAAATGTTTGGCAAACTCAATCTTGCCAGGGGCTTCGGGGTAAGCTGTGATTCCTACCCTTGATTCCCCACAGAGTGTGAACAGAACCTGAGTTCACGAGCCTCCCGTTTTAAATGGTTGGAGTAGATTCTGTGCTTGAACTCGGCCAAAGACTAGAGAAATGGTCTCCAGCGCTGTCATGTTGCTGGATTCAGATCTTCCCAAGGGGTACAGCTGGCGATTGTACTGTGTCATTAAGGAAGAGCCTTTTAGGGGTGACCAGACACTAATACCACATTCACAGTCTTGGCTTTCTCTTTCTGGAAATCAGATCTTGTGGATGTGGACAATTAAATTTTGTGAAATTTGCAGTGTCTCAAGAGAGACTAAGACTTGTCTGGATTTTAGTGTACAAGCCCTCAGAATAGGAAAGTAGAACAGGAAACAGACCCGAGATTACACCCTAGGATGGCCCCAGGAGTGTTACTAGTTTCAGTGGGTCAGAACCTCGTGTTACCTTCCACAGCCACTGAAGCGCAGTCCCAGCGGCGGCAGGTAAGGGAGGTTTGCAGTGACTGCCACTCTCCTCGACTCTGCCTTGCCGCAATGCCGCTGCTCTCTCAGTTGTAATAACTTGCAAATGGAGTTACATTACAGTTTTGTAATTGCCTAATATTTTGGGATGATGGAAATTATTTCGGGGACCTATGGGTATTATAACAAAATAAAAAATCTTCCCTTACAGAGTTTAGGAAAATCTCAGAATATTTTTTTCATGTTGAAAACTTTCTTATGATTTGTTTCATTTCCTTAGAAATTCAATGAAAAAGATTTGGAAGCAATACAGCGGAACCGTTATTTAATGGCTGCGGAGGATCCCAAGTTCAGGAGTGAAGGCTTAATAACAGAAAAGCGCTCTTCTCAACAGTCACCAGGCAGCAAACTCATCTTCTTGGGGGTAAGCTTGACTGAAATTGGATGTTCACATGCCAGTGTATTCATATTCTGTTCTGAAACATACTTGATAACTCTTTTGATCTAGCCATCCTCCAATGCTTCCTTGCTGATAATTGAGCTCACAACAGGTACAGGGAGCTCTTCTCCCAGTCACCGTGCAGATTAGTATCCTTCGCTGAGTCTTAGTATTTGCCCTGCATGTGAAACCGAGAAATCACAGCTTGTTAAAAGAAGAGCCTCATATTTGCTCCATCAAGGAACTGCCTCTTAGGAACTATGTGGCTCCAAGAGGTGAGGTTTTTCTCTTTAAATGGGATCCAGCAGGTCCTTCGTCATCCAGCCCCACATTATCTTTCATGACCGACAATAGCTGATTTCTTGCAGATTCCTGTAAACAGCACGTTTCTTCCTTTGTGCCTTTGTCTTTGCTCTGCCATCTGCCTGCATGGCTTTTCCTTTCTTCTTGCTGACCCCTGAGCATCCCTGTGGGTGCCACTTGAGTGTCGCCTTTCCCATGGGCGCTTCCCTGACCTGCTGCACTGTGGCACCTTCTCTTCCTCTGCCTGGCAGCACTTTACAGGCCCCTCTGCTGTCGCACTTGCTCCATGTTTTGGTGTTTGCTTCCCTCCATCTGAGCCCCTGTGTGGCACTGAGGGCAGACCTGTAGGGCTAGGAACTGGCACTCATCCCTGAATTCTGATGTTCAGCCGAGTGCCTGGTTCTGTAGATGCTAGTTGAGTGAGGGAATGGATAATGCAAACAGGCAAGCAGATATGGGACAGGAAAAGAGTTAACTGTAGACCAAGTTTTAAAAAAAAAACTTGTCTTTAATTAAGTTCGTATGTGCAGAAGACAGAGCACTCTTACTCAAATTAGTTCCCTGATGAATGGCTATGATTGTGACTTACGGTTTTATTGAGGGTGATCCTCAAAATCATTAACAACCATACAGCGTGGGTATCAGGCCTCAGAACAGACTTGGGCAGTAGGACTGGAGTGGGGAGCTGAAGGCCTGCCCTTGTGCCAGGTTTGACCTCTGTAGATAGCGGATCACAGGGCAGATCCTAGGGTCCATGAGGTGGGGCTAGGCAGTGGGATGGTTGGAGTGGATGGGCTGGAGTTACTTTCTAATAGGTGTAGGAATATTTTAGTAGCCAAGACTAGCCGTTATGTTGCATATCAGCTCAGTATCAGACCTGGTCCTGGTGCCATTGGCTGAACAGTTGGAGTTCTTTCTTAATTCTGACTGTTTGTATATTTGCATTTTGCTGATATGCATGAGAATGCCAGCATGGATTAGTGCCACCCTTGGGCTGGGCCAGAAATCTGGGGCCCTGGATTTCTCTTTCAGCTTTGTCATTTTATTTAGGTAACCTTGGGCATGGCTGACAGACTGTCTCAGGGCTAGTATTTTGTGATTCTAACTTACATTTATTGTATGATTTTGACCAGTTAGTTGGGCATTTAAGATGTACTTAACCTGTAATAAGGCATTGTGTTTGAAACAAGGTAGCAGCCCATCAGGTTTTTTTTTGTTAATAAGGATATAAACTTCACTAATCTGGATACATTTAGTTAAATGTTATTTTGAGTCACATTTTAGTCATGAAAAAGTGTGTGTTGAAGAAAATATTTATAAATTATTGAACAGGGTGAGTATTTTATGTTTATTCTCACCAGTTTTATCATCTCTGCCATTTTGTGTTTAGTTTGTGTGCTGGGAAATATCTGTACTTCTTATAACCACAAGTTGAAAGGCATTCCATGGGCAGTTTGGTAATCTATAGATCCTGGTGATGTTTAAATTACTATGAAAAATACTGAAGCATTTTAGCAACAGTTTTAATCTTTTCTGTAAGACTAATTGCAAATTACGGGTAAAGAATTACAAATTATCATGAGAATTATAAATGTGTAGGTGTCACTTTAAGGAATCCCAACTGTTGCAGATTTATGCCCCCCCCCATGCTTTTCCGATTATAGTCCTTTCTTTGTACAAAATGTAGATTTCTTCTGCTGTGCTCTGGGCCATTTTGTATTGATTTAGAGTTTATCCTCTGCCCATTTTTACAAAAAGCTCAAGGCTCTGATGATGTCTCCATAGAGTCTGGGGAGTTTGTTTTCCGTCGAATCATTGTGTGATCCTGAGAATTAATGCTAGATGATCAGGGAATTGAAGAAGAGAGAGTAAAACACACTGACCGTATTTGACTTGCTGAAGCTGGAGATTTATAGCTTGGTTGTTGACATGGTTGGGACATTGCTGCTGAATTTTCCAAGTATTAAAACAAATGTCTTTGTTGCAGGACAGTGACATAGCTACTGAAATAGACACTTTCTATTTACTAGGCCTCTAAATTGTCTTGATTACCAAGAACTGATCCATTAAACTTTCTCTTTACGTGTCTGCTGCCTCTTCAGGTTGTGGCCAGCGCATTATATGTGTTTCCTTCAAGTCATTAAGGAAACAATGGCATGGTAGAAACTACAGGGTGCTTTTGTGTCAGAATGTCAGTCCTGCTATTTACCAGCCCTGTGACCTTAGACAAGTGGTTAATCTCTCTGAAAAGCACCTCCATAATCTGTAAAGTGGAAATCAGGTACCTTCCTTCTGAGAGGATTAGAAATAATATAAGTGTACCAGTTAACATTCTTCAGAGTGCAAGTTATAGAAGCCAACACTGAATAAACTTTCTTGGAAGGGGGTCTTAACTGGGAACATACTGGATGCTTTTGCAGATACCAGGCAGGAGCTGAGCAGCCGCACTCCGGGGAGGGTGAAAAGTGTGCTAGCGGGGAGGGTGAAAAGTGTGCTAGCCCCTAGAGCTCAACAGCAGAGGCCAGGGGCTCTGATCTGCCTTTTACGTGACTTCGCCCCTGTAACTCCCAGATGTCCGGTGTTTCTGTCTAAATCTTGCAATTCCTTGGAGAGAACTGTAATGGTTTAGTGTGGGGTCAGGACCTGGCTTACAAAGGAGAGACCTTTTTCCAGTACTTGGCCCCGGGTCACCATACTGCAGGGCTTCGCTCCGCTGTGGAGAGCACACTGCAGTCACACACACAGTAGATAGGCAGCAGCAACAGGTCTTTCCTGTGAGGAGGCCTCCTGTCTCAGCTGCTTCTTGTTTGGAGGGGTTAGGTGGAGGGTGAGAATTGATGTCCCCGCCCCGCCCCCCCCAGTTAAGCCAGGTCCTTCTCGCTGCTTCTCTGGGCAGTCTGGCCCTCTCCCTCTGTGCCGAAGAGGTCTACTGGGCTGTCAGCTCTGCTGAGGAAGCCAAATGACTTCATTCTAATGGGGCATGATTCAACGCAGGGGAATAGGTGATTGATGAAATGGGACCCGAATGGCTCCGAAGAGTTCATTTATTTAACGTGGGTGAGCAATTTGCTTCTAGGAAGACGTTGGCTCACTCTGACTTCCATTATGCAAAATATCCACAGGAATCTCTGCTCTTAAGATTCATGTCACTCCCTGTGTTCCCCTCTTACCTGTTTAATCATCAGTTCCTCAAGTATTTGTGGCAGCATTTGACTCGTGCCAGGCACGGTGCTTGGCTTGGGACATGGCTGCTGGCAAGGCGCTCAGACTCCGCACAGGTGGTTGGCACGCGAGCTCTGGGATGAAGGTGAACCTGGGCGCTCTGGAGGCTGGAGGAGGGCGGGAGGGTTTTCTGGTGGTTGGGCCTGAGCACATCCTGTAGGGTGCTCTGGCGTGTGTCAGTGGGGCGTGGTAAGTGATGGCACTTGGATTTTGGAGAGTAAGGAGGAGTCCCTGCCGCTCCTGGGAGGGACTTCTGAGTGACCCTGAGCTAGAAGGGCAGGAGAAGGGGATGAGGGCAGGATGAGGAGAGTGGTGGCCTAAACCCTGGGGAGGGTGGGACTCTCTCCCAGGAAGTAGAGGGGAAAGGAGCTGAGCTGTGCATCCAGGCCCCTGATGTGGCCGTGGGTTTTCTTTCTCTAGGGCTTAGAGCCCAGCCTCCCGAGATTCAGTCAACATGCAGGGCCCCAGGGATTGGGTGCACATGCGCTCCACATACTGCATTCCTAAAATCTTTGTTCCATCCACCAGAAATCTACATTTACTGCTCTTTTTTTCCTAGCGCTTGTTGGTCAGCTTTAAGTTACAAGCACAAACTCTGACTTTACCACTTGTTAGCTGAGTGGTCTCAAACATGTTACCTCTGCTCCCAGAGAATCAGTTTCATCAGCTGAAGAGCAGGAAGACTGACCTAGCCCCCTGCACTGTTGTGGTGCTAGAGATAATATCTGTAAAGACCTAGCTTAGTATCTGGAACATAGGACAATTAGCATTTAGGTGTTTACTCCATGCCAAGCATTGTTCTGACAGCTTTGTGTAGATTAACTCATTTAATCTTGACAATCCTGTGAGGTATACAGATTATCACCTTAGTTTATAGGTGAGGTTACTGAAGCACAGAGAGGCTGAATAGTTTTTTCAAGGTCACACAGTTAACCGGGTCACATACTCCTAAACAGCACTGCCTCTTGCGTTAGGTGCTCAAGAACAGTAGGTTGTGTTTCATTTGTGTGTTTTTGAGCAGGCTGGCCATGAACTTGCAGTCCTCTGGCCTCTGCCTTCCAAGTGCTAGGATTGTAAGCATGCACTACCACACCTGGCTAAGGATTTCTTATTTTGTCATTGGCTTTTCTTGTTTCCTTTGGCAGGTTTGTGTGGCTGGCATGTTACCTGTGTCAGTTATACCTGAGCTTGGCATCATTATGGGACAGTGAGGGGTGGACTGAAAAGCGCAGGCTTGTGGCACATGTCCTGCCTCATGACCCGACCTCTGTGGCGTGGGGAGCAGGGGGCACCTCAGTTGTGAGGATCCCAGAGAGCACCTCATGGTGGCCGCCATGCTGAGGACTCGGTCCTGAATTGTTTGTTTGTCTTGTCCTTTTCAGCTCTGAGCCACTCTCTTCGGGGTGCCCTGGCTGCACAGGAGCTTGTGTGTAGGTTGGGAGCTGAGAGACACAGTTTTCGTGTGCAGAGGCATCTGGAAGCTCCTGTGCCAGTGGCAGGTGGCGTGCTTTGCACGGGCCTGACATTTCTAACAGTCTGGGTGACTGACTTGTTGGGACCAGCCTGCTAGTTCAGCACTGAAGGTCCTTATGGGCAGGTGCTGCCTAGGCCCTGTTTTGTTAGAGCTGGAAGCACAGCGGGGTTCTCCTGGGTCTGGGGACTTAGGCTTTTTCCCTCTCCATCGTCTTGGCAGCCTAACTGTAGCCAAGGATCCCTGGAATCATGTAAATGCGCAAAATAAATGTATGGGATTATGAAGGCTACTAAACATTTTGCAGTTTTTAAAATACAAAAACTTATGCTGTAAAATGGTATGGCAGTGACTGTAGTGACCATTATAGCTCTGAAGGTAGTGATAAGCATAAAAATCTTGTGATGTTTTGTGGGATCTGTGTTACGTATAAAATAACTGTATTTCTTTTGATGACCAAGTCACCAGGATAATGCTAGCACTACTATGGTTTATAGCAATACCAATTTTCCTTCAACTTGTAATGGAGAGGTGTGCTAAATTTCAGCCAGAAGTTAATGGAAATAAAGATACAATAATTTCTTGTGTTCACATTCTTTTTTCTTTTTTTTTTTTCTTTTTCTGTTTTGGTACTGAGAATTGAACTCAGGACCTTGCGCTTGCCAGGCAGGTGCTATGCCGCTGAGCTGTATCACCCTCTGTTCATATTCTTGCAGCCTCTAGATTTTAGTTAGGTCAGGAACCCCTGGCCAAGCTGATATCTTAATGTGAACTACAAAGGCTGTTTTTGGTGCCCGTTAACAGAGTTTTCTCTCCAGCATTCGGACACCACCTCATTTCTGCTGCGTGCTGTGCTAGGCGTTCTGCATACATTAACTTCAGTATTTATTCTGTATGTTGAAATAATTTCAAATTATAGAAAAGTTACAAGAATAAAGGATTTTATTTTTTCTCCTTCACCTGAAAGAAAGTTCCAATTAAAGCCCTGTCCTCTCCAAATACTTTAGGGTATATTTTCTTTTTAAACAGAGACACTCAGCTCAGCTACTGCACCCAAGAAATTAGCCCAGACTGATCACTCCCTTCTAATCCTCAGACTTGTAGTTTATCTGTTTTCTGAGTAATGATCTTCCCAGTGATAGAGTTGGTTCAGTATCACACCTCACTTTTTCTAGTCTTGATTCTTTAGTCTGTGGTCTGAGACAGTTCCTCAAGTTTTTCTTGACAGGCATGACCTTGAAACCTTTGAAGTATCCGATATGTTGGTGGATGGCTGCCCTTCAGTTTGGGGGTTCGTGATCTCCTTGGCGGTTAGATTGAGTGTGTACATCTTAGTCATGAGTGTCGCAACAGTAATGGTGTGTTCTTCCCATTGTACCTGGTCCAGTGGTGCATGATTTCAGCTTGTCCCATCACTGTATAGCCATCCTGCCTTGGAAAAGTGCATCAAGGCAGTGTCTGCCAGGGGTCTTGATTGTCCATTACTCTTTTTTTCCTTTGTATTAAATAAATACCTTGTGGTAAGTGTTTTCTGTCTGTATAAATTCTTATCTTCAAGCGTTCACTTACTAGTTTTATCATCTTTTTATGTTTCTTGGCTGAATTATTTACTACCATGATGGTTGCCAAATAGTGATGCTTCTAATTCCATCATTCATTCTACATTTATTAATTATCATTTTACTGCAAAGAAAAGCCAGTTCTTCTCATTTATTCACTCATATCAGTATGGATTCATAAATTTCTGTTTTATTCAGTGGGTTATAATCCATCATTATCATTATTTTGATGTTCAAATAGTCCCCGATTTGGCTGGTGGAAGCCTTTTTAAACTGGCTTCTATGTCATTTTGACAAAATTCATCATTTATTTCTTTTTTAGCTTTATTAAAGCATAATTGACAAAAATTTTATATTTTTAAAGTGTACAACTTGATATTTTGATATTGCATACATTGTGAAATAATTACCGTAATCAAGTTGATGAATATATCTGTTGCCTCACATTAGTGCCAACTTGGGGGACACCTTTAAGATCTACCTCTTAGCAGATGTCAAGTGTGCAATACGGTATTGCTCACTGGAGTCACCATGCACCTCCAGAACTTACTCATCTTGTATAACAGACCTTGTATCTGAAAAATAACTCCTCCTTTTCTCCTTGCCCCAGCCCCTGGCAACTAGCATTGAACTCCTTAAGCACTTCTTCATTTTCTAGCACAACAGAATGCTGGAATCACACCTTCTGCTGTCCCTGATTTCCCATGTCTCAATATTGGAATTAGTCCAGGGGTCCCTGTCTCCTAACAATACACAATTTCTCTCTTGTCTGCTCCATAACTCTGTAAAGTGGAGGTTATTGTCCACCATTTCTTAGGTAAAAATGCCACGGTTACTGGTAAGAAACTGCCAAACTAGTAAGTGGCAGGGCCAAAATTTAATCTTTAAAAAATACCTCGCAGTTGTAAATGTTCACAACCTGTGTCCTCATTTCATAAAAGTGGGGACTGAACCTGATAGAGGACCGTTCAGCTGCTTACCCAAGGTAAGCAGCGACCTTTGCTGTGCTCTGGATGCCTTCCAGGTGCCACTCGCTTGCCTTCTGCTCCACTTTAACATGTTCATGATGGGGCCACAACTCATGTCTCACTGCTGGGCAGCTTGAGCTACTGGTGGCACGTGGATGACTGTCTCATCGGGAGGCTTGTAGCAGTGGTAGTACAAATGGATCTAACCACTTGTGTCAGTCTTTTCACTAACAAAATTAATGAAAAGCTGCTGGGTAGGACAGCCATGAAGCCTGGACCGGTGGTTCAAGCTTGCGCATTGGTCCAAGCTGGCGGGAACATGTTACATTTCTTGACCCCAGGATTTGTTAGGTTTTAGTTTATGAATTTCTCTTCTTTGGAGCAAGAGCAAGTGTGATGAGGCTGGGGAAATGGCTCAGTGGCATAGGCGTCTGCCTGGTAAGCGCAAGTTCCTGAGTTCGATTGTCGGTGCCAAAAAAAAAGAGCAAGTGTGGCAAGACATTTTCTTTGTAGTGTTGTGAAAATAATGATCAATAGCTTTTAGGAATGATAGTTTTACCTTGGGTAAGGAAGGTGTCTATGATTCATAGCTGTTGGGTGTTGGAAGCATAGTTCTGTTTTGTGCTGGGTAAATGTATTAGCTTCACTGTAACAAAATGCCTGATGTAACTAACTTATAAAGAGAAAAGCTTCATTTTGGCTCACAATTTTGGAGATTTCAGTTGGGCCTCTGGTGGGGGTACTGGGGTGCAGTGGCAGGGAGTGGAAAGGTAGTGGAGCAGACTGCTTACCCCATGGCCGGGGAACAAGAAAGAAAAAGGAGGGAGCCTCTTCTCAAGGGCAAGCCCCTAATGACCCAAGGATGTCGCAGTAGACCCCACTTCTCAGAGTTTCTACTGCCTCTCGGTAGTGCCACCCTGGGGACTGAGCTCCTGACACGTTGGCTTTTGGAGGACAGTCCAGATGCACACTGTGGCAGGCAGGCCTTCCCCGCTTGTCCTGCAGGTGGTGCTGTCAGACTGTGGTCTGAGCCAGAGCCTGGCTGGGTCGCACCTCCCAGTGGTTTTAAAAACCAGAACTAGCCACATACACTTGATTAATATAGAGCTGCACTCTTAAGATTCTTCCCCTAATGCTGGATGCCTTTGTTCTTTCCAGGAAAAACAACAGTCAGACTATGAAGAGCTAATGCAGGTCTTAAAGAAGGAGCGGGACATCTATTCCCACCTGGTGAAGTCTCTGCAGAACTCAGACAGGTGAGGGTTTCTGTGTGGACGTCATGCGCATGTGAGGGCATGCGTCATGGGCATGTGCACGTGGGAAGTGCTGGTGGCCTCCGACCCAGCAAAGCCTGCCAGTTTGCTGGGGAAATTTACAAAGTGCCTGGTGATGGCCTTACTTAACAATCAGGTTTTCCTGTTTCTGTCGAGAATTGCCTCATTTTGGCAACAACATCAGGATAAAGTATAATACTCAGATTTTAAAATATTTTATGCTATACTTAGGGATGCTTCCGTGTGTATTCTTATCTTGTATGCTCGTCAGAGCTGTTCTGCGAGGTAAGTGGTGATATCGGAGCTATTTTACATGAGTCCGTGCAACTTAAGGGAGGTGTAGTGACTTGTCCACGGTCATACAGATGTTGCCAGAGCTCTAGGAGCCAGGCAAGTCTCTGTGCCTGGGAGTGACCTGTGTCTGCAGAGACACTGAAATGCTTTGGTGCCGGCGGTGTGATGAGGACAGTGAGTTACAGGCCAGCAGTCTTGTTCTGGTCCTGGCTTTCCCGCTCACTGCCTCTGTGTCCCGAGGCAAGTGGCCTGCTCCACGCTTCTGTGTGCACCTCCATCAATGCAGGATTGACCTCAGGAGTTTTTTACACAAAAACAACATCCCTTTCCACACTGGATAGTTACAGTTGAAAGATATGAGATCTAGGATTCATTTCAAAACAGCACAGAAGCTGAGGAAGGGGTGGAGATAGCAAAGGAACAAGATTGGCCCTGGCCTCCTGGTTTGTTGTCTGGGTTGTGGGTGGATGGAGGCAGGGCTCATCACATAGCTTGTCTTTTTCTGTATATGTCCAGAATTGTCTATAATAAGTTAATCAACATCACCCTTCACTTTTCCTTTGTGTGTACCCTTTGCAAGCTCTTCTCTGTCCTAGGACTGTGTTTTCCTGCCTCTGCCCTCACCTCTGTTTTTTTTCCTACCCTCTTCCTGACCTCCCCTGCTTTGCCTCCCACTGCTTCTTGAGAATTTGCCTCTGTGTCACTCTTGTGAGGAGGCTCAGCTGGCTGCCGGCTGTTACCCTTCTGCTTCCTTCCTGACCCCCTGGCCCTCTTGTGGTCACCTGTGGCCACTCCACCTGCTGACCTCCTCTAGGAGCTCCCCCAGGGTCATGGGGAGCCTCTATAGGCTGTGTTGCTCGGAGCCCTTAGGAGATGCTCTATGCAGAATGCCCCTCCCCTGCTTCAGGCTTCTAAACTATGAGATAATTTCCTGATTTTAAAATCTGAAATGAATTGAGAGAAAACGAAAACATGTTGGTGAAATCCCAGGTATGGGCATCTCTCTCTGAAAGTGAGCTTTTTCCGGAAACCTCAGCTGCTGGCCATTTTCACTGGGCGGGGTGGGGGCGCTGAGTCATGGAGAACTCCAAGAGGGCCTGGACCAATTTTGCTTCAGTTGGCACGGCTTCTCCGGGAGGGAGCAGGGTAGATTCTGAGCACTGAGACATGCTGTGGGAGGTGCCTCCCAAGCCCTCTCAGCATCATGGATGCCTCCGAGTTTCACAGGTTCTTCCCTAATGAATAAAAGTGCAGATAAGGCTGGAGGGGTCAGAGCAGTGACCAGCCAGTGTGCTTAAAAGGTTTCCTGTTCGTCTTCAGACTTGGAGTACATTAGGGAAAGATGGCCTGGGTCCACATCCCAGCTCTGTCACCCAGCAGTTCTGAGCTCGTGCAAATAATTTCTATGCTGAGCCTCAGTGTGTGGGTTTGTAAAGAGCAGATTGGTGGTCTGCCTACTTATCTACCCACTCCCTCCCTACCTACTTATCTACCTACCTGCTCACCTACCTACCACCTAATCTACCTGCCTGCTAACATACCTGTGTACCTATCCACTTACCTCTCTGCCTATTTACCTACCTACTTACCTACCTATTCTCCCACTTACCTACCTACTCACCCACCTATCTCCATCTCACAGGGTTGTTTGGATACAAGAGATGATACTGTGTAAATTCCAGCACTACCTGGCGCAGAGTAGGCACTCAGTAAATAATGACACTTATTAAGCACGACAACATAAAATGTTCCTGCCTGCCTCACTGCGCCATCATGTGTGAGCTTAGCCCACGGGCTTCTGGATCCTTGGAGCCTAGCACGTCCAGGGGCAGAACTATGGGCGAGGGCAGGTGGCGCTCTCATTTGTGACCGCAGTGCTGCTAACTCTCCAGAAACTGGCAATAAAGGAGGGTGAGTGGAGGCACAGACATTTGTGATTAAAATGGGAACAAGAGGAAGGAAACTGTGAGCCCGATCCTTTTACCTTTCCTTTTTATTCTCCATGGGAGCACTTGGAAATCTGTGGCTTTACTGCACATTGTGTCCCTAAGATGTGAAGGGTACCACAGTGAAAAATGATCAGAGCTGCCTCTCTTTTGCTTCTGAGCCTCGGTCCTTGCTGGCGTGTCCATCTCCAGGGCTCGTTTCCTCTGCACTTCCTGTAACCCAGTGTTGCTTTACCTCAGCAGTACTGTGACTGCAGGCTGGATTTTTTTTTTTTCTGAGGGGCTGTCCTGTGCATTATAGGATGTTTAGCAGTATCTCTGGCTTTATCCCATGCCAGTAGCACACCCACCTCCTCCTGCCACAGTTGTGACAACCAAAAATGTCTTTAGACCTTGACACATGTTCCTTGGGGCATAGCATTGTCTCCAGATAAAAGTTATGGTTGTAATGTGTGAGAATCAGAAAGTTTGGCTTAGAAGGATCCTGTGCATGGGAGCTGTGGGGTATGCAAAAGGAAGGAGTTGATGTTTGTTGAGCAGCTACTATGCAGACACGTTAGACACTGTGTCATGTGCTCTCTCCAGTCCCATCGCATTTAATCCTCAAAACAATCTCAAGGGACAGGGGTGGGGCTGGTGTTCTCCTCATTTTACAGAGGAAACTGGCGGGCCAAGGTCAGGGGCTGCTTAGTTACAGTGTGTCTCTGTGAGCCCAGCTCTCCATGTGTCCTTATTTTTACGCGCCCCCCTCCACCCGCTGCCTCTAGTCCCGAAAGAATACACAGGGCTTTTATTCCTTTCTGTGTGAAGCACCTTTTGTTCCACCAATTCCTCACATCTTTATATGATTCTGGAGTTGGGAAAACATAAATGACAGACACGGGAGCAGCAGCTGTGTCCTTTTCACCCCGTCAGAAAATGGAGGAGGGAGTGTGGCAGTTAGCTTTCCCCAGCCCTAATAGCAGGAGCTTCTCTAAAACAATCTCTCTTTTTTTTTTTCCTGGTTAAATGTCTCGGCAGCACAGCCACATCCAAGCTGTGCTGTGCTGTGACACCTCGGGAAGGTTTCCCATCAGCCGTACAAATTGATCATTATGATTGTCTTGAAATGGAACTAGGTACAAGTTGCTAGTGGGCCCCTTGGCTTGCATGAAGGCTGCTTCACAATGAACCGTCCTCAAAGCCGCAGGCATAGAAGATTAGACATAATGGTTTATTTTTATTCCAGCGTATGTTGATTTATGTGTACAGTTAGATGCATGGACCTGGAAAAAAAAATCTCTGAAGGAAAATATGAGGCTTGAATACCTGGCACATGTATTCAGAGCAATAGCTCCTAGCCATTTTGGGGCTCTTGACCCCGTTAGAAAAATGTGATAAAAGCTTTGGGCCCTCATGTTAGGAAAATCCTTATAATTAGTAAATGTTTACAGGTAGTTTCAAAATGCTGAACCCTCTCATAGGTCGATATATTCTCTAACCCTCTCATAGCAATATGTTCTCAGTGTGTAGAAAAGGAGACTTTCTGATTTGTTAAGGTGTGTTAGTGGCTTTAAAAATGTTCGTGTGCTTTGACCCACTAATTTCACTATTGGGAATCCTTTTTAAGGAAAGAACTTAATGTCAAACCACACTGTGGACCTGCACTGTCCAGTAGAATAATCAGTAGATAATGTCATCATTGAAGATTAAGCTTACTTTAAATTTCATGAAATGAAACAGCTCCTTGGTACATGAAGCTACATTACCTAGTGGCTACTGTATGAATCAGTGCAGATACAGGATGTTTCCGTGGCTGGAGGAAGTTCTGTTGGATGGGCCTCCTCAAGATTGATTCAGCCTCTGGGAGGGGCGTGTGTTCATGGCCTCTTCTGGGTTCTGGGCTTCCAATTCTGTATAAGCTCTCCATACAGTATCACCCGGATCTGGACGTGAGACCTGACCATCTCCCTCCCCCATCAAGAATAAAAATCCAGTCATACTATGCGTTTTTAGGGGGCTAACCCACTGCAGGGGGTTCTTTTGGCTCCTAAATTGATCCTTTTCTCTGTTAGTGTTAACTCACTCTTCTTCCTTGGTTTTTATTTTCCTCCTGCCCCTTACACTCCCCCTGCCCCAATATGACCTCTTTGATGGGAACAGCAGAGATCCTGTGTCTTTTTCTTTTGAAGTCCAGGGGCCAGGTAACTCCGTGGCCCTGGAGCCTCCTTCTCTACACCCCTTCTTCTCATGGCATTCATTATTCCAAAGAGGCACATCCTGGAGAATTAGATTATTTCCACCCACTTACATCTAGCAAAAACTCAAAATGACCCAAATGTCCACTCATAGTTACAGTCACCGGTGGGATGTTCACCAGTTTTAATATTAATAATCATTAAAAATGATGTCAAGGATTTCTAGAAATGTAGAGTGGTATTTAAGCCAGAGATGCATACCCGCGTTATACCACTCATTGCTTTTTCCATCTTGTGAAAATGCTTGTAGAGAAAAAGATTAAGGGGAGATGTAGGCTGCTGTGTGTTAATTGGGTATGGGTTCATTTTTGTTTTCTTTATACTTTTTAAAACAATTTTCATTTTCTTTATACTTATACTTTTCTGCAATGATTGTATATTTACTTTTATAACTAAAAAAAAACAAGTAACATAAAAATCAGAGAAAGGCTTGCTGGACTTTGTATCTTAAAGCGTAAACAGGTCTGTTTGACAATGTCTATTATCTTGTTTCACCAAGTGCCAACAACCTGCAGGCTGAGTTAAATGCCATTTTTGCCCTACGGAAGCAACTAGAGCGGGATGTGCTCTCCTATCGGAATTTGCAAAAGACCCTGGAGGAGCAGATCAGTGAAATCCGGAGGCGAGAAGGTGTGCATTGTCTTCTCTGTATGCTTCTGTTTGGTTCTTCCATTTGGAGGAAATGGAACTTTCATAAGAGGAGTTGAAGCAGCTTCAGAATTGTACCTGAGGATCCGTTTCCCTGGTGGCCATGTTGATGCTTCTGTGTCCAGTTTGTCCAGCTGGCTGCTCTGGGATGAGTGTTCCTGGAACCCACACTGCTGGGCTCATCCTAGTATGTTTAGCCCTGTCTCTTGCCAGGCCCAGATCCCCCTATGTTGTGGGATGGTATTTCATTCCTTTCTGTATCTGTCTCTAGGAGCCTGGGACATGCTATAAAAATTGGTTATTGTGGTGGGTTTGACATTTCTTGGGTACCTACTCTGTCTGTCTGGGTACAAGACAGAGTGCTGGGCTCTTTCATTCTCAGCAATGATCCTTGTGATCATTTCACTGGGTAGAAATGTATTAATTTCATTTTAAAGGTGGAGAAACTGAGCTGAAGGGGTGGGGATGAATTGATTTGTTCAGATTTGAGCCAGCATGTGCCCCCTTGGGTCCAGCTCTTTCTAGTTTCCTGCACTGTACTATAGGTGCAGTTGAACTTACCCATGTGTGTTAAATGCAATGCTGTTGGGCATGTGCCCCGCTCTCTAAATGTCCTTCCTCCCCCGCTTCTCCCCTCCCTGTTAGAATGTGCCATTTGTTGCGGAGGAGGCGGACCCTGACATGTAGGTGACCGCGACTCTTGTCTTGGCTCTAGCAGGCACTTTTTGCACTTGGTGTACTCACTTCCCATGAGGGCTCTGAAGCCAGTGAAAATACATCAGGCACTTTTATTTCCCTTGAGTTCTGCCCTTGGGGTCACATCTAATTTTCCTGTATTCTCGCCTAAGCAGAATCACTCGCTCATTTAAACTATCACCATTTGTTTGTGCCGTTCAGAACGGTCATCAGGCACAGCACTTGCTATGCAAATTGTAATTCAGCACTGGCCACAGTGAAAACCTACAGCCCAAGATGAAACTATATATTGAGATATCAGCCTAGAGAGCGAGGAAAATTGCTTCTGCTCCGAAGGTGGTACTTTAAACCCCCCTTGTGTACGTCTCTTCCCCTCCTCCCCTCCCTGTTCAAATTGCTGTAGATGGATTGCACTGGGAGCTGTCTTGGAAGGATCTGTTTCTGATATTCTTTTTCTCCCCACCCCACGTTCTTAATTTAATTTAATTTTTATTTTATTTTGGACAGAAGAACCGTTTTCATTTTATAGCGATCAAACATCTTATCTAAGTATTTGCCTTGAAGAGCACAATCTGTTTCAAGGGGAGCATTTTTCTCAAGAAGAACTTAAGAAAAAGGTACTGAGCTATTAACTTTTAGTGCTTTTATTTGTTTATTTGTTCCGTCTTGGGCTCCTGACAATGGGGATGTGAAACTCAGAAAGTCCCTTTCCTCTCCTGTCTTCTCGTCCCCCTGTTTTCCTGCTTGGCTCCTCCCGAATGCACTGCTTAGGCTGGAGACCCCAGGCCGGGTCTGCACCCCTGGAAGAAAAATTCCCAGGCCCTTCCAGAAACGGTGAACACTCTTTCTCAGCTCATTCCACTCTCCTCTGTGTTCCACACTGATGTCCTTCTTATGCTGATCTGTGGTTATTGGCTTCTTTGTCTCTAGGTAGGCTATAAACATCTTAAAATTAATGATCATAGCTTACTTATTTCTGATATCCCAATACCTCACACACATAGTAGGAGTTAATAAAAGTTTTAAACGATTATACTTATAAGTGGGATCAGTACATCTTGGTTGTATAGATTGCAAAGGTTTTTCCATCTGTCCGTCTGTGGTGTGGTTAAGGTTGTATATGTCTGAAGGTTCTAAGAACCATTGTTAAGAACAAGACACGTGGGCACAGAGGAGTCCGTGTGATTTATTGTAAAATTGTCTTAGATCGGGGATTGAGGTTTAGTTTCTTTTATGGAATCATTCACATCCTGGCAGAGAAAACAGACACACAAACAAACAATTAGGTTGCCATGAGAGGCATCTGGACAAGATATAGAGGTAGCTGAGGAGAGGTTACAGTAATTGCCCCTTACTTGATCAGGGGAAGCATCTGAAAAGAAGTGAGCCTTTGAAGTGGGTTTTGAAAGATGAACAGGAGTTTGTCCAAGTGGAGGGTTTTCTTAGCAGAGAGAAAGAAGCCCTTTAAGGCTCAGAAGAAGTAACAAGGAGACTATAAAAACTGGGGTGCTTTTGGAGGAGTAGAGCCTTGAGACAGCTGTTTTAATGAGGAGGAGAAGAAGACAGTCCCAGCTGCTGGCTAGTACTCAGTATGGCCCTGGTCAGGGCAGCAGGCAGTTTGCTTGCTTGGCACTTAGTACTGTCTTGTTCTACCCACCTTGGATTTTACTCATGCTATGTGGTGGACATCTACCGTGTGTAGTCAAGGTGGGGTTTTCCACTACATTTGAAGGGCTTATGATTGTCCCTCTTAAGTGTTTGAAAAATTACTGGATACCTCAAAATTACTTGAAGCTTTCAGGGAGCCAGGGTGTCTGCTTGGTGGCCTGTGTACCTGATCTAGCTAGAGCAGGAGCACTGGACTGGGAGCCAGGGGATCTTGAGTCTCAGGAGGCAGCTGCTCTTCCATCCGGGATCTGGCATTTAGGACATTGTTTTTATCTTGTTCTCCAGGACAGTTAGCTTCTTTGTATCTCTGGTTCCTTGTTATAAAACAGGGATGGGCATACTAGGCTGGCCACCTCCTCGGGATTTTTGCAGGCAATGATTGACAAAGCTTGCAGGAGTCTTTAGCTGTACATTGCTCTGTGATAGACAGCTGTTTTATTACCAACACTGCTGGGTAGGTATACAAAGAAGGTCTGTGCTATAGAAGCAGGTCTGACAAAAGTGTGGAAACTTCAGCCGTGGGGGCTTTTCCTCCAGAGGGTCTCCAGTAGAAGGCAGAGTTGGTGCTAGCTGTCGTTGACTGAGCACTGGAACTGTGTTGAGGGCATGAGATTACGGGGAGTTCTCACAGTAGCCTATCCTACAGATGAGGAAGCAGAGGCTCACATTAGACAGTTTGCCCAGGATCTCTTTGCTTTAAAGTGGTGATTCTGTTCTTCCGCTCTTCTCTCTCAGGTCAGTGAGCTCATACAGCTTGTGAAGGAACTGTACACAGACAACCAGCACTTGAAGAAAACCATTTTTGATCTTTCCTGCATGAGTTTCCAGGGAAATGGGGGAGCTGACCCAATAGAACAAAGAGAGGTAAGAAGAAACATTCCTGTTATCTTGTGCTAATTGCAAAAATACAACTACCCAAGAGCTTTCTCAAGCGTACATCTGCTCTGGGGAGGTCTCTAACTGAAATTCCCTTTATTGGATTGGGCTTTGCAGGCCCGGTTAGGTCAGCAGGTCTGTCGTCTGGCTTCCTCTGGCTTGGGTTGTTTCTGCACGGACATGTTCAAACTATTGTGATGCTTTTGACTGTGGTCCGTCCCTGGGATCCTGCTGCAGATGGCACATCTGGGTGACTGATGTGGGCTCCGAGGGATCTGGAGAATTGCCAAATCACCCACATAATTTGTGGAATATAGATGCAGCCTTAATGGCTCTGTTAACATTGTAAAACAGATGTCCATGTGCCCCACCTGAGGATTCACCCTGATGACTCCTGGGTCTCGGGCACTGATCTTTGTGGTGTGTTGTCTCGGGTGTTCTCTGTTCTTAACCTGCGCCGCATGGTGACGGTCCCTGCAGCCGTGACAGTGGGAAAGATCACATTGTTTCTTCCCTTTAGCCCCTCACTTGCCTAACTCACCCCTAAGAAGAACCTTGTTCCATGCCTTAGCGCTATTTCAGAAGACTGGAGCTACTCTCACCTGGATGCAGGTTTGTTTTGTCCTTGGGTCTCTCATGAGTGAAACAGGAATCTTCTTGCTTGGGATTGTCCTGAACTCAGCCTGCAGTGCTAGGTAATTGCAGGTCTCAGGCTTATTGCCACATCATTTCTTGGAAAAGATTTGTCAGCCTTAAGCTGTCTCCTCCCACCTTCAGAGAAGGAACTGCTCAGAGGTATTTATGCTGTGCTCTGGCCATCTGCTTTCTTTTGAGACAGGGAATATTATTGATCTTAGCCTCCAGGGCTCCAGATAATTTTGAAAACCAAGAGTAACTGCAAGCCATTTAGGGAAAAACAAGTCTCCTGGTTTGCTTCCTCCAAGGCAGTATTTTTAATAAGCAGCTTGTTCTTCACTGACTCCATTTGAGTCGTAAATGGAGAGTTTTGTTTGTTCATTTGCCCTTTGAAGAAAATCTGTTAAATGTCCCATTATGTCATTTGGAGAACAGAGGCTTTTTCTTCTGCCCACTCTAAGATCTTAATACCAGTCGATTCAGATTTGAGTCATTTGTCAGATTGCGCTTCAATTTGATGTTCCCTGTGAACAGGCTTGTCCTTTATAGCACAGTTCCCCATCTTTCTCCCAGAATGGGACAGGGAGGTCTGCGCGGGAAAGATGATGTGCCCATTATCGTCTGGAGCTGAGGGAGGAGAGGGCGTCAGGGTGAAGAGGGGTGGCAGAGGAGGGAGCCTGCTGTTCCCCAGGAGGGCGTTTCGGTCTCCTTTGATAAGAAGCAGGCCAGAAACAAACCAAAAATGCTTATGTTGTCCACAGCATTTTCTGAGCAGCAGGACTTGCAGAGTGGGGGCTGGGCATGATTCCTGCTCACTAGGAGACTATAAATCAGAGAGAGGGAGGAGGAGGGGGAGAATGTGAATGAGAATATAGTTTGTGTTTTTAAATTTCAAAAAACAGAGAAAAGGAATGAGCCCTAGTTCTGTTGCTTTATAACAGGTACAGTTAACTAGCATTTTGGAATCACTCCTTTCATATCTGTGTGCGTGCACATACCCTGTGGTGCAGATTTTGTCCTGTTTTTGCCAACTGCCATTAAGTCATGGCATCTTCTGCCATCTCATGAATGCACTGGAATTTAACGGCTGCCCCCTTGTTGGACAAGGAGATTCTTCCACGTGATTCAGTATTGTAAAGTACATACTTGTAGTCTCTGTACACAAATCACTTTGTGCGTGTAGGGTTTTGTTTCTTAGATTATATTCCCAGATATGTAATTACAAGGTCAAAGGAAAGATAGGGATATTTAAGTAGCATAGGATTTATTTTCACACACACATCCCAACAACTTCCATTTTGAAAAAGTGTAAAAGTTATTCGGGACCCTGGCAGAGTTTGTCAGGTTTTTCTTCAAAATGGTTGCTCTGGTGCAGAAGCACATCAGCTGGGAGCCGTGGTGCTGCCTCCCTCTGTGCCAGCTCCACCCAATACACAAAAGCCCAGGGCCAGCTATTCTTCTGTTTCGGTGTGCATTTGAAAACCTCTTATCAGATGCCCCTATTTTCTTATGTGTATATGTATGTATGTATTTGATTGAACTCAGGGTCTTCTCACTGAGGTCTGTCCTCAGCTCTTTCTAATTTTTTATTTTGAGACAGTGTCTTGCCAAGTTTTCCAGGGTGGGGTTGACCTTCTGAGTCCCTTGCATCAGCCTCCTAGAGTATGGGATTACAGGCATGTGCCGCCATGACCTGTTTATGTTTGTTGATTATTAAGTGATGTTATAGAAGAAGTTGGTTGAGATCTGCCACACAGGAGTGATGGCAGCGGGCTGCAGTCAAGCTGGTGAGCATTGCAAACCACGAACCATACAACACGTGGACCTCCCTCTGCAGGTGCCTAGGATACGCGGTAGAAGGCACTGGTACGGCATGTTGCAGGTGCTCTGCAAGGGTCACTGCATTGTCATCCTTAGGCATGGTTAGGAGACTGTTTTTTTGGCATGGAGAGAAAGCATGGCTAGATGAGCATAATTTAATGAGCTCAGCTATTTGTAGGGCTGTCATGTTGAACAAGAAATAGACCTTGTGTGACTCTGAAGGACAGAAATGGTACTCAGAAGTAGAAAGTGCTTATTAAATGTTCTATTAAGAGTAACAGGATAATATTTGGTTTGTCAGAGTAGATTTAATTTCATTAAAAGGAGGAATATTCTAACAATTCAACTTTAGAAGTTCGTTCTTACGAGTTTCACTAGGCTTAAAAGGCCTTGGCACAGTGCCTGGCATGTAGTAGGCACTCAGTAAAACATAGCTATTTCCATTTTATTTTGTATTTTTAGGGTTAGTGGCAGAGTTGGAATCCTAACCCTTTTCTGGCTCTGTTCAGAGATGTCCTAACAACACGCTGGGCAGTGCTTCTGAAATCCATTGGGTATGTGGCTTTCCTGAGCACCTTGTTAAAATGCAGGTTCTGCTTCTACCAGCCTGGCATGGGGCCCAAGAACCTGTATTTCTGAGAAGCTTCTGGGTGATAATGCTTCTGTTGCTCTGAGGAACGCATTCTCAGTAGCAAGAGCAGAGGTAATCCTGAAAACCATTTGGGTCTAAGTTCTCATTTTGCAAAGGTCTTTACTTACACATTTGTTCTTTCAGCAGTGTTTTACTGAGCACCAGGCTCTGTCTAGTGTGTAACAAAGAAATAGGGCTAGTGGCCCCAGCAGTATTGCTGGCGGATTGCAGAGTCCTGAGGAGCCTGGAGCCGGCTGTCAGCCCCACTGCCAGGGAGGAGGAAGGGAAGGAAAGAGGCAGGGGGGGAACCAGGAGAGGGGTGGGTCACAGTGTGGTATTTTGTGGAGGGCATGTTAAACAGTGTCAGATTCTCTGAGAAGGCAAGGAAGAGAAAACAACTGAGGCACGTGACCTAGGCTGTTTCCTGAGAGTGAGAGGAGGGAAGAGGAGCGGGGAGATGGAGATAGAGCTGGTTGACAGAGGGAACTGTCAGGACCTCTCCCTGGCTGGTGGCAGGGTCGAAGCAGAACCTGGGTACAGTGACTCAGAGTTTGTCTTGACAACTTGTCCTTTGTCTTTGAAAACTACTAAGTCACATGGATATTGGGGTCATTTCCCTGTGTCTATAAATTTAATTTCTTGATGATTACTGGAAACTGAGAGTTTGCTTTTAATTTGCCTAAGTCAGCAGAGGTAGAGAGACATGCCGCTTACTGTGTCTTGAGGAATGGCATGGTTGTGATCCTGGAAAAGCACAATAACTGAGATGTTTTTGATACTTAAACTTGGAATGACCCAATTAATGATATTAATGATAATTTGCTCAGCTACACTTAGGTGAGCTTTTCTCCTATCCACAGGAGGTACCAAGGGGCTTCTCCATTCCTGCTCCCTGACCCCATAGGGATTTTACTTCTGTGCTAGAGGTCTTTGGGGACCTTCCTTGGGCAGTTTCTGGACAGTGGTGGCAGGAAAAGTCTCACTGCAGAAAGTGAGAAGTGATCCTTTTCCAGAAGCTTGGAGAGAGAATGGTCAGTGACCACAGTCCATCATCATTCCAACTTACCTTTTTGAAAAGTAAATTTATTTTTAGCTGATTTATAAAAACATAAAAATTGTAAATATCAAAGGAGATACCCTGTGATTTTTTTTAGTGCATGTATACATTATGAAATGTTTAGATCAGGTTAAATATCTGTCTCTTCAAACATTTCTCATTTTTCTATAGTGAAAGGTCCAAATCCTACTATGAAATTTGCTGTACATTATTGTTATCTAAGTCACAGTACTGTGCATGAACACACCAGAACCTCCTCCTCCTGTCTAACTCAACAGACCACCCACTGGGCAGCCTTTCCCATTTCCTCTCCTGTAACCCTTCCCACCCCCACAAGTTCTAGGAGATCAACTTTTTATATTCTGCATGGAAATGAGATCATGAAGGACTTGACTCCCCACCTAGATTCTGTTAACATTTCCATGTATCCATTATCACTGTGCCTAACTTTTTTGGATAAATTTTAATGAAAATTCCAAATACCAGTATATTTTCCCTAAAAACTTCAGCATATGTATCTTTAACTTCAATACATTTATAGTTACCTTTTCTTATATACAATGAAATACAGGGATTATAAGACAATATTGGCTGAGGTTTACACATATATATATCTGTGTGACCCAGACCCCTGTCAAGATTCCATATGTTCCTTTATTGTCAACCTGATCCCCACACATTTTGGCTGCTTCTGTAATTTTGTCCCATCATGGATTAATTTTTCCTGTGCTAAGGCAGATCTTCATATAAACAGAATCATATAGTATGTTCTCTTGTGTGTAAACTTTTTTCATTCACTGTGTTTTTGAGATTCATCCATGTCATTATGTGAATCAACAGTTTGTTCCTTTTTGTGGTTCCATTCTATGAATGTATTGATCCTTCCATTCTGTGGGTAAAGGGTGATCAGAACATTGAAACACAGGTCTTTGTGTGGTCATACACTTTTTTTTTCTCTTTGTAAATGCCTATGAGTAGACTTACGGGTCATAGGGTTATTATTTTTATAAGAAATCACCATTACTTTTTCCAAAATGGGTTAGCTTTTTTATATTCCCACCAAGTTTGATAGTTCTAGTTGGTCTGTATCACTTCAAAATGTTTTAATAATGAAGGAGAAAACAATAGAGAAACAGAGTTCCTCAGCGATATTTATAAACTTTTATGCTTTAGTAAGTATAATTACACATATCTAGGCTCTTTAATGCCTGGTAGGATAATAGGATGTGGGTTTTGATCAGCAGGTCTCTTTGATCCTGATTGCAGATTTGGATGTGGGTAGAATGAATGTGTTCTGGCCCTGAGAATTTTCTGTAAAATGACATTCTAGAGTCAGTTCTTTTTTTCTTCCAAAATAAGGTTTCTCCTCTAAGCAGATCAGAATTTAAGTTGGGCTGGGAGAGTTATGGGCATAGTGAACTAAATGTGGGAACTCATAAAATGAAACTGTTGAAATCGAACCCTAAGCATCTCATATGTGGAGCTACCCAGCGAGTGACCTGGCACTCTGGGTTTAGCACCTTTGGTGCAGAGTTAAGTACTTCTCAGCGAGAGAGATTTGCCATGATTCTGAGACAGCTGCATTGGACTCCCTTTCTCTCACTTTTCCTTCAGTTACGCAGGTGTTCCATGACAAGAATCCTTGCTCTTCTGGTGAGCTGAGGTCTGGCTTTCCTGAGAACTTCATGCTGTCCGTTCTGCAGAAGGCAGAATGCAGCATACAGAAGCCTTGACATTTACGCTTCTTTAAAGTGTTAGATTTATGCAGTCTTTATAAATAACTGTCCTTCATTTCCAAAAGCATAAAGTTACCATCAGACAAACTCAGTACTCTTCTCATTAATGGTGAGGGCTTTTTGTCAGCAAAATGACAGTGTTGCTGGGACTGTCCGTCTCAGACATGTGACAGTCCGACAGGGGGTTTGTGCCCTGTGTTAAATAGGAGACAAGATGCATACATTGGCACACCATAAATTTCACTTACTGCTTTTTTTGCTATGTGGTATTTTCAATTCCATCAATAACTGTTTGCCAAAATCTTGTGACTTTTACCTAATCTGAAAGTAGATTTAGCAGTGGCAGAAGTGGCAGCAGCACACGGGTGGCATAGTCAGTGTCCAGCTGTGTAGAAAGACCAGGCGAGGGCACAGGCGATGCCTTTCATTATTTCTTGGGGAATTTGTCCTTAAATTTTACTTGATCCTGGGTAGCTGTGTGTGATTAGCCAGAATGAGCAACTCTTAACTTTGGCTCATTTTTATTTCATGGCTTTGGCATTTGTTCCTGCCTCTTTTTTTGTTTGTTTGTTTGGTTGGTTTTTGTTGTTGTTGTTACATCAGTGACTTATTCACACGTAGTCATGCTGCACTTTGTTTTGGGTTGCGTTTTCACACCATTCCATGCTCCATGTAGCTTCTGCCTAGCAAGGGGAACGAAGACACTGTCAAAGTTGAAGAGGATGACGGGACTAATTTCCAAGGCGACCAGCATTTGGAGCCGAATAATGAGGTAGGAACATGACAGTTAACTTCTTATTCTCCGCACGGCACTCTTCCAGAGCCAGCCTTCAGTTTGGCATGTGTCCAGTATGTTTCCTATTCCTCCACCTGTATTGACCACCTGCTCTATGCCAATCTCTTTGCTATCAGAAGTTATAAACTGGATGACAGAACCAGTCACGAAACATGAGAACAAACATATCATTGCCAGTGAAAAGAACAGAATAATGGAGCTGGATGGATGTTTAGAGATCTAATCTAGCCTATTCATTTTATCCTTGGGAAACCGAGGACTTTGAAGGAGGTGATTGATCTGGAGTGCAGAGCAGGTCATTGTCAGAGTTGGGACAAGAACCCTCATGTCTAGATAGCCATGAATGCTCGGACCACTTGAATGGGTAAGGGGACATGGGTGGAAGTAAGTGACCTTCTTCAGTCTCCTGGTGTTATCTGGGCATGGTGAGAATTTGACCCCATCCCGTAGGATGCTCTTCCTGTCACCTAACTACTGGTCTGGTGGACTATGTAGTCTGCAGGGCTGGAAGAACCCTGCAGACTGAGCTGTGGTAGGAGATAGGAGGCTACAGGTGTGGCCTTTTCAGTCTTCACAGTGTTCGGCTTTGTGGTGTCATGAACAGAGATACCATAGTGGACATAGTTTCAGAGAGCAAAGCAACTGAAAGCAGGGGCTTGGAATCAGATAGGCCTGATTTTGAGTCCTGGCTATGGCACTCCCCTCTGGTGATCTTAGTTAACCCTTCCTTATCCTCTAAGCCTGAGTTGCCTCATCAGTGAGGATAGTAATACTTCCTTTGGATTATTGTGATACTTAAAAAAGAAAGTCATGTAATAAGTGCTCAGTAAATGATAATAATCACTATTTTTATTATTCTGTTCTAGACTTTTCCATCTTTGGAGGTTGCTTGTTCGATGGATTTAATAACTAGATTGGTGGCAAACAAGACCTATAAATAACAGCTCATTTGTGTGGGTCTTGTCTTCCATTTTAAAAAGTCTTAATCATTTTTCCAGTGTGGAGAGATGGGGTTATGGCTAGTATATATATCACTAGCAGCAATGAAGTCAAGAGAAGTTATTTATGGACTGGTAGAAGGAATTTACAGCTTTGGATAGGGGAGAGAGAATGCTAATTGCGGTACCACAAGACATGCCCAGCACAGGCTTTCACTAGCTGCTTCCGTGGTGCCACTCTTGTGGGACTCTCAGTGACCCAAGAAGGTGGATCTGCAAATAACATCTGCATGGGAATTAGGAACTGTCCACCTTTCTAATGAGACGCTTCAAAGCCATGTTAATTAACATGTGTCTGTAATGAGTGAGTCAGCTTTCTGGTATGGGCAAGAAGTTTATAATAAATGTTCAGGGCTCTGTTGATGATGTGGATGCCATGACCTCCTCAGGAAGAACTTTCAAGGAGACAGCCATTGGGAGAACACACGTCCATTGTGTACCTGTAGGGAGTAAGACATTCATTTTATTCTCCAGCCCACTTCGGGTGGTAGCATTGCTGTCCCCGTTTTATAGATAAGGAAAGTGAGGGTGCCTTGAAGTGAGTGTGTGTGGACCTATATGCCTGTATCCCTCCTTTTCTTTCCTTCTCCCCTTTCATTTCCTCTCTGCTTATTTGTACTCATTTGCTCTGCTTCTCCATCCTTTTCCTCTCTTCCAGGGATTCCTTTCTCCTCTTCCATGTCTCAGAATTTGATCAGATACTTTTGTTTACAGATTCTGGAGGACTGTGCCAAAGGAGGTTCTAAAAATGGCTATTTAAAGCACACGGATTCCAATAGTTTAGACTGTGATGGGGCTAATAAAGATGGCTGCCTTGGAGACCAGAACCTAGAAGGTGTCAAGCTCTTGGGCCTTCTTGCCCCTTTCTTCAATGAGAGAGCCCTGCTGTCACTGGAATCCAGGTAGGTGTGGGCCCAGGCGTGGCTTTGTCTCTGGTCTGAGGGGAGAACACACTCACTTTGCTAAATGGATTTAGAGGGTGGTGCTGCACAGTATACCTGAGCGAGCTCCCAGAATGGCTCAGAAGGAATCTTGCCAGTCGTGCAATTAGGTAATTAGGCTGTGCGCGGGCGGCAGTGAGGGGCCTTCGGCACAGCCTCGTGCAGGCCCATTAGAAAGAAGTGAAAGAAAGCTTTCCTTGAGAATTATTCCTGGGAGCCCCAGAAATGGCTGCTTGGCCATTGGTGAAAGAAATCAGCCCTGCTGGAATCTCCTCCGGTTTCTGCAACAGCTTAAAAAATACCACTGTAGTTGTGACTGCTGTTTTATGTTGAGCTTGAACTAAAATTCTCTTCTCATTATATCTGCTGGGAGTCATTCCTATGTGAGGAAATACTACAGGTTGTTTTCCTTAAAGCAGAAAAAGGAGAAACATTCAGTATATCTGTATCTTTTAAATTAATCCTGTATGAGCCATTTTCCCATTCATATTCTTTCTAGTTCATCCGTGACTGCTGCATGGGCCTTGGAATCAGAAAGAACTGTGCTTTCATCTTTCAGTGCCTCAATTTCTCTGATCACTTCCTATGGTGGCTGTGAGGAGTGGGAAGAAAATCTTTAAGAAAAATAGGTGGCACACACCCTGTGTTCAGTGAAAGTTTTCAATTCTTTTCTGTACAGATAGAGTCATTAAATTCTGCCCAAGACCCTTGGCAAGAGCCAGACCTTGTAGTATTTCTTATGTCACTGCTGGGCTAAGACTTACATCATGTTGGACATTTCTTCAGTGGAAAAAAGGATTGAAACATTCTGTTTTTGTGACTCAGCGGGGCAACTCTCCCCAGTCATTGATACCCAACATTTTTGAAGCACCAGTCCTTGGGGGACATGCCCAGTGCCTGTTCTGGCTTAGTATCCCAGGGAATTAGGTAACCACAGCTACTGGTATGCAGAAGCAGAGGGTTTCCTAAACATCAGGGTTGTAAACTTGACATCAGAGTTAGGAGATAACCACCATTTCTCTGAGGACCACTTAGGATGTCTTCGTGGGATAGATCCCTTCTAATGGACGGGAGCTTGTCCGTCCCAGCCAATTGTCAGGCAAGCACGTGGGCTCTGATCTTCAGTCTTCCATGTTTATATTCTAAATGTTTTGATTTTTAAGAATTTAGATTGAATTACATTTTTGAAGAAAGCACCTTCTAAGCCAATGCTACAAGCTGACTTGTAGCATCTTGTGTTTAGTTCTGTCTAGGGTACCCTTGTAGGTATCTGCTCCATAGACTTTCTGGCCAGTGCTAGTGTTAGACTAGCTCCAGTCTGATGCCCTGACCTTGGTGTTTGTGCCTGTGAGTGACTAACCCCATGGTGCTGGAGTTCAGGCGCCTGCAGAAAGCCTGGCTAGCACACGTGCTCCACACCAGGCTCTGGCTGGGCATGTCACCTGCCTATCTCATCTCACCTTCATAAAAGCTTTACAGGCTATTGCAGGTGATCTTCTTGGTCACTCAGCATTTCTTTAGCTAGTTAGTGGTAGCACCACTGGAGAATTTTCTAGGGGAAGTAATATTCTTATTGGTTGGGGGAACACCAGTTCCCTAGACATTCCTTCCAGAGGTGTGTGTGCTGTGTTTCCTTGGCCTGGAAGAAGCAAGGTTTGGAGTGAGACAGACTGAGCTCATGTTTAACTGTACCTTTAGATCTTGTGCATCACTACCCATCTCTGTGCCTTCATCTGTGAATGAGGGTTGGGTGGGTTAATCACAATTGTTTACCACATAGGAACTTATAAGGATGAAATGAAATAATGGGTATATGGATTCAGGTCAGTACTAAGTGAGGTTTTGCCAATATTACTCTATAAATTGTGTCCTTCCAATTATTCCTACCCTTTCCCTCTAACCCCAGGTAAGATTCTTGGCTTATGCAAGTACAGCTGCCAACCAGGGATGTATGCCTCCGTATTCACTCATGAGCCTGGTCTGGTAACCCCAGTGCACAGGTGTGATAGACTCAAGCCTAAGCTGGCTCAGTCTCTGAGTTCTTCTGCCTTCTAGCCATGTACCCCGAGACTCAAGGGGCAGCATAGTGGCTAGGCCCCAGAGTAACTCTGATGCAGTGAACTTGTCTGTTAGGATGGACTAGGAAGCAGCTGTGCAAGTAGTTACATTAGTCTAACTAGTTGCCTTCCCCTTGATCAGAGTAGCTCATTGGTTGAAGGTGGAGTGAAAAGTGCAGCGTGGCCCACCTTGGAGAAAGGGCTGGCAGGTCCCACCCCTGCCTTGGCATTCACTGTGTGTGGGATGCCCAGCCCATGCTTTGCATGTTTCTGACTTATGTGGCCCCCATTCCCTAGAGAACATGGTTTAAGATTTTACCACCGTAAGTTTTTGGTGTTTGCAGCCTAAAATTAGGTGTGATAGTTCATAGCTAAGAAATTATAAAAATGTAAAAGGGGAGCTTTTGGGGGATGATATACTTATTTAAGAATTTAAGGAAAGGTGAATGCAGTCTTGAGTTTTAGCCAGCTCCTAGGAGATCTGAGTCAGCAGTTTTGGGGATGGCTGTGGGACAGGTAAGCTGCCACCTGAATGTGAGCCCAGCAGGGGTCCACAGAAGTCCTCAGAGGATCACCAAAGGGACTAGGTCTGTTTTGGCTAGGGAAGATGTCTTATCTGAAGGTAGATTCCATATTAGAGAGGGACTAGACTGTCGGGATCTAAATAGGACCCCAGAAACCCAGCATCCTCCTGAGTGCTCCTGTCTCCTTCACCTCCAAAATCTGAGTTCCAGTCATTCTGCCTCTTCAGTAGCTCTTGAATCTGTCCTCTTCTCTGTCTCTGTTGCTTCCTCTCCCCATAGCTTGTGTCAGATTTCTCCAGGATCACTGCAGTGGCCCCCTAACCAGTCCCCTGCAGTTATCCTTGCTACCTTCCAATCTGTTTTCCCTTGACTTCTGGAGCAGTTATTTAAAAATTCAGTGTATCATCCTATCTAAACCCTTGAGAGAATCTCCACTCTTGGGGTCAGGACCTTTCCATGGCTGGCCAGACCCTGTGAGAGCTGGTAACCCTCTTCCTTAGCTCTCTTTATACTGTTCTTGTCTTGCCTTCTGTGCTTCAATCGCAATCCCCTTCTTCCAGGACCTTGAAGGAGTCGAGTGTCCTTTGTTTTAGGATCATTGTTCATGCTGGTTCCACTAAACAAACACTCCTGGTTGCCCCCTCTGGTCCCCCCACCCCCCAAGCCCTTTGATGACCTCCTTCATGTGCTGTATCCATGCCTCTATAAGATTCTGACATGGTCAGGAACTCAGGTTACACATGTGCATAGGGCACGCCACACTATGTTTATTGTCACTCATTTCAAAATGAGCATTCAACATGGCACAGACAGGGCTGTTCTACAGCTTCTCTTCTCCCTTACTCCCACCCCTTCCTGGCTAATGACCTTGATCCATATATCACTGAGAAAACAGAAGCAATTGAATGCAAACCACTGCTGGCCTCTGTAGCTGCAAACTATCTTTCTGCCTGTTGCAGTAGAAGAAATATCTCTGCTCCTACCAAGACCAGTCCTCCGCTGTGGCTTAGTTCCCGTCCTCTCTTTTCTGTCCCTTCTCTTTTCTGCTTCAGTAGTTTTTCCTTAAATTGAATCATTGCAGTAGCTCATAAACATGAGACATACCTGATATCTGACGTTTGGGAAAAGTACCCCTTGTCCTCTGATTTCACATCCATTGCAGCTACTGCCCCATTTCTGTATTCCTACTCAAAGCAGGATTTCTCAAAAGATTTGTCTGTCTTCACTGCCTTCAGTTTCTTCCTTCCGTTCTCTTTCTACCATTCTACGTGTTTTGATAACTTTTGTTCTGTCGATCAAGGTCAGCAGTAATGTCCAAGTTGCAAATCTAGAGTCTGGGGTCCACCTCTCAGCAGCAGCTGGCCTTTCTCTCTGGCCTGTTTCCTTCTGCCCCAGTGGCTACTCCTACCCCATCTCCTGTGTGGAGACTCTCTTCTCACCTCTTCGCTGTACCTTTCCACCCTCTCATGACGGCAAAGTGTGCTTTGTGACTGCTGGCTGTGTGCTTATAGTCCAGGTCGCACAGCCAGCTTTGCAGCTTTGTCTCTTCTGTCCTGAAAGTCCTCCAGTGGGTTTCCATTGCTGACAGTAAGATGAGAATTTCTTGACCCTGCCCCTACCATTTTCTGTCTTCATCAGCCACCTCTCTTGTTCTCTGGCCCTCAGCCACTGACCTTTCTGTTCTGCATATATCTAAGCTTGGTCCCACCAGTAATAGCTGTTCGCTTTACCTGGAATGTACTTTAGCCACATGTATATGACTAGCAGTGCCTCCGCTTGATATCAGCTTTGTAGAGAGGCCTTTCCTGCCACTCCATCGAAAGGGAATCTTATTTGATGCTTTGTCTCTGGATTTATTTTTTCCTCCTTCCTTACCTCCTGTTCATCATTACTTTACATTGAATTACATAGTCATCAGTGTATGTATGACTATGTCTTCTCCTTAACAGAATGTAAGCTCCATTCTCTTTTTCACCTTGCATAACCACTGCCTTATGTTTCACACTGAAGTACTCAATATGTGGTACTCAATTAATAGCTCAACCTGATAGCAGAAAGAAAGTTTAGAAAACAAGGAAGAGTTGCCTCTACTTTGGAGTCAGAAGGGTCTGGGTTCTAATCTTTGCTTGGTCATTTTGCTGAGGGATCCTGAATCTTTGTGAGCCCATTTTTTCATCTGTAAAATGAGGTTAATAATAGTCTGCTCTCCTAGTCTGAGTTTGAGGAGTCAGTGTATTTAAAGGATGAGGCACATGGTAAATGCTTAGTAAATGTCAGTGCTTTTCCCTACACCTTCTGTGTGGCGCAGATGCTCAGGAAAGGGCGTATAAGCACTTTCTGGGTCTCTGACAGGACCCTTGGACTGAACCATTCCAAAGGTCCTGGTTACAGTGACAACTTAATAAATTTCCTATTCAGATTTCCAGGAAAGTAATACTTGAAATGTTTTATTTAATAACACCACTGCTTTAGTGTATTATAATGGCCTCTTTTACCATCTTTTACCCCATTTGTAAACTTTTTTCTTGGATTTTATTGTGTGTTATTTGGTGGTGAGGAATGGTCCTCCTTTGGCTAGCTGAATAGTAATTGTCATTATTTCTTATCTGTGTTAGGGAAGGGGAAGGAAAATTTAGGTTACTATCTCCTGATGCTTGTAATACCAGAAATACGTTTAAAGTGTGGTTTTTCTGTCATTTAAGATGGCTTGCGTATCCTAGATGATACTGCGATAGAAGTGAGCAAGGCACCATACATTTTAGTTCTGGTTTTTATTTCTTTTATCTTAGGAAAGCCGAGTTGACCCTGCCCTGATCTGTGTCATAGGAATCGGCTATGGGGAGGGCCTTGTCCTCGCCCTCAGAGGGTGCACTGTGGAGGATGAATCCGGTGTCTGCTACTTCCAAGAGAAGCAAAGATGAGAGGGCAGTAAGGCCAGGGTATGTTATAGGAACTGTAGGGTCTGGTCTGACTATCTCAGAAGATTTCTCGAAACAGTGCTGGAAGGAGGAAATGCAAGGAGAAGAAAAGGAAGTAAGGTCATGCGGTCGTGCTTCTCCTACAGGCCGCATGGCCTCATCCTGACCCGCATCATCCCTCTGCTGGAAGGCAGGCAGCCTGCCAACCAGCTCTGCCCAGAGCCGGCCCCATTTCTTCCCCGTCTAATTCTCCACCTCAGTTTCTTCATTTCTTTGTTTCTTTTGAATGTTTCCTTCATGTTTTTGGGTGATAAACATTCCTATTTTGAAGTCTTCTTTTATGAGTTCTGTTTTCTTGAGAGTAAATTCTCTAGTTTCGTGTTGTCTTTTTTGTTGGGTTTTCTGTGCAAATACAGTTTGATTGTACTAACGGATACCACCCATATTCTCCCTGTGCGGTGGTCTTGAAGTTGCCTCAGCTCGACTTCTGTAGTGGTTGATTGATTATGTCAACTTGAGAAGTTTAGAAGCTTAACTAAACTTGGCTCAGCAATTGGCTCAGCAGTTGTACACCCTCGGGTGTAGAGGAGCCATCCTAGGGTGGATCATCTCCTAGAAAATATAAAAGGGAAATGAGGAAAGACAGAGGAACTTCCATTCCTTTTGGAGGAGCTCCAGTTCTTCACCTTCAGCTTGGACTTCGCCTCCTGGCTTCTAGTGCAGGCTCCTCGGCTTCCACCTTGGATCCTTCAGCCTTCTGTCGCAGACTCATCTGCCTCCTGGTACGGACTTGCACGGAACTCTGCAGTGAACACCAGACCCTGGACTGAGCCCTTCGGTTTTCAGTGTGCAGACACCCTCTGCACACTTCCCCATACAACTCTCTGGCTGACCGTCGTAAGCCAATGTCGTAATTTCTTATAATCTGTACATCCTGTGTTATATCTCTTTCTCCAGTAAAACCCTGACTGATACAACTTCTTAATAAGGGTTAGTGACATTTATGTGACTCCTCTTTCACCCTGGGAGTTGAACTTCTGACTCTACTACTTTCTGCAAAGGCCCCCATTTTGACCCCCTTTTCAGGGCTGTTCCTGCTGTGTGTGATCTATAGGTACCTTCCTCTTGAGTTTGAGCCTACTTAGTGACACCTTGAAGTACTTTCTTATTGTGGATTTTTACTGTCATTTCTGTGATCAGAACAGAGTGGAAGGAGTTCCTGTGTGTGCTCACACCACTTTCTTGGCAGGAAATCTCTACCTTTCTGGAGCACAGGCCTTTTAGGGACCTCCTTTCCTCCATGTGGCCTGCCAGACTCTTCGTGTCTCCTTGGCTTTGTTTCCCAGCTTCAACTCCTTATTGACTACACTTTGGTGACTGTTCTGTCATTGTTCTGCACTGATCCCCTGCCAGCCTTTACTCAACTTTTGCTTCAGACATGTTTCTTTCACCTGTAGTCTGGACACTGGAATAGTTGACTTGTTTTTTGTTGTTGTTGTTGTTGTTTGTTTGTCTTTTTGAGACAGGGTCTAGCTATGCAGTTCAGGCTGGCCTTGAGCTCACTTTGTAACCCAGGCTAGTCTCAAATTCACAGTGATCCTCCTGCCTCAGCCTGCTGAGTGCTGGGATTACAGGCGTGCGCCACCATGCCCGGTTGGAATAGTTGACCTGTAACCTTACCAAACTTCCTTTTTTACGTTGTGGAGTGGTGGTTTGTATGCACACTGGCTCTCACAGCAGTCTAAGTCCTCGCTGGAAAATTTGTATCCCTGTTTTCCCCTAAAGTACCTGGCCCAAGAAACACACTCACAAAAGAGGTGTCTTAAATCACTGGCACCATACCACGTATTTTCCACACTGGCTTAGTTTTGTTTCTTTGGAAAGCAGAGCTTGAGATACAGATGTGGGTACAAGTGATTAATTTGGAATATGGCACCAGGGAGCAGGAGTGCCGGAGAGAGCTCAGAGAGAGTGAGACAGTGAAAGCCGAGCCAGTAAGGGTGCAGTATTGATCTGGTAAATGCTCGAGGCAGCTGGGGCCCCATCCTGCTGGGTATCCTCTTAGAGACAGGATAGCCTGTGCCTGTGTTGTCCTGTGAAGGTTAGAACCTGAGATATTCCCTGCACAGATCTCTTCCCCACTGACTGAGGGTTCCCCAGAGGTATCAGCTGCCCCCCACCTCCACACTGCTTGCCTGGCTGGCTCAGAGAGCTTTAGAAAGAACTCAGGCAATGAAATGCAGAGGTGCTCCAGATGGGACCAGCTGTGTCTGTAGGAGCCATCCCACAGCTGCAGCTGAAGTCAGAGGGGAGCCAAGGATGTGCAGAAAGGAACATAAAAAGTAACTGCCACCCAGACACTATCTTGTTTAATCCTCATCGCTCTCCTGTGGAGGAAGACTTAGCTTCTTTGCAGAGAAACTCAGAGTTAGAATTTGAAGCCGTTTTATTTTATTTTGTTATTTTTTGCATGCTGGAGATTGAATCCATTGCCTTGTGCAGGCCAGAAACCTCTACCCCAAAGGCATTTCTACGTGCCTCCAAAGCCAGTGTGCTGTCCGCTCTACTTGTACTCATGTTAGTGAAGCATCTCTTCGTTAACATCTATGTGTTGAGCACCCAGTATACACCAGAATAGATCCAGTTACGCATGGACCAGACAGGTTGGTGAGATTCATCCAAGGCCACTCTTGCCCTGATGAATGAATGAAGCCGGGGTCTTGCACTGGAGTTGGGCACCCGGTAATGTCTTGACACCTCGTAGTCCCTCTTCCTCCTACCTAGGCCCAACCTACACCCACCACCCATGTAGCCCACTCACTTGCTGTGTCCTTGTGTCGGGTGCTGCTCTTACCCATGGAGTGAACGGGCATGGTGGTAACTGCCTTGCTTGGGTGTTGTGAGATTACATGGACTAACAAAGTTGGTAAAGGACATGTTTATTTCTCTTGCTTCCTTCTCTTTGGAGAAACAGGCCAGACCTTCTGATAGCACTACATGAACTGCTTCTGGAACAACTATGCTTAGCAGAGCAGGTGGGTCCTGGAGAACACCTTGATGGTGAAACTGAGAAGACACTTAAGCAAATGGCCATTCAGCTGAGAGATGAACTTGGACATTTGGTCCAAGCCAACTCATTCACCAAGCCACACGGTGAACTGAAGTCAGCAGGGGCCCAGCTAGGAAAGATGGGTGAAGTGGCCAAGGTGGAGCTGAAAGATGCCTCCGTGCAGACTGTGCCCGGGGAAAGCCACCTGCTCAAGTTTGAATGCGATGGAAAGAGAGAAGCTTGGGAAGAGAAGCCAACAGATGCCATGTTCGGTGCTGAGCCCGAGAACGAATGCAGGATGCCAGGACAGCAGGCCACTCCCTTTCCTTGCCCCAGTGTGGCCAACAAAGTAAGTTTGTATATTGCCTCCACTGCCACCATATTTTTCCTTTTATGTGAAGAAAATGTCTGGTGTTTCTCTGCCTGTGCTGCTTTTGTTCTCCACCTCGAGGTGTGCGGGCCCCCAACTGGCCCCCTCCCTCCCTATTTCCTGTCCTCACTGCCATCCTCTGACTCCCCTCCCAGCCCTAGCCCTATCTCATTCGTCTATATGTCAGGATATTTTTGTGTTTTCCTTAGAAAAGCCATATGTAGGATCATGTTTATATATCTGTCTGTAGCTTTCTCTTTTACATTATGTATTGAAGACATTTTTCCTTATACTGGCTATGTAAGATTCTAGTGTGAAGATTCTTTACTGGAATCTATATAAGATTCCAGTAAAGCTTCGCCTGCTGATGGACGTTTCCTTTAGGAGGCTGAAGTAAAGTTATAATGGCTTTAGCATACTGGCCAGCATCTAAGAGCCTGGGCTGGGACTCCTACTGTGTCTGACCCCCTTCCCTTGGCCAAGCTACCTTTCAGTCATGGTAGTCCAAAATGGTACCGTAGATAATAAACATTTTAAAATAAAGCACAATTTCTCTTCTTTAAAATGCAAGCAGGACAGATAATTTTAAACAAAAATTATTTAATATATTTGGGAAAATTAAGTC